ACGCAGACTCACTCTACACCTTTCTGACCATAGCTCAATTAGATCTCATTTAAATATTCATGGAGACCTACCGGACACTATTCGTAACATACTTATTGACAACACTAATATAATAGCATCATCTACATGCAAATAAAGGCTAAAAATAATGGAAACTTTATTAATAAAAAAAAACAAAAACATTTATAATATTAACTTTGAACATGGATACAATATCTTGACCGAGTTTTGAAAAATGTAAACATTTTATAAAAGAAACATACAACAAACTATTTCTTATTTAACAGTTGAAATATTTAATCCTTAAAAAATGGTTAAATGTATAGCCGAAAGAGTTCGGATAAAAAGAACATTCGGACTCTTTTTTTATAATTTATCATCCGAAAAGAAAAAAAAAAATTAAATCACATTAGAAATTGTATAAAAAACTAAATAAAACCACGTTGACTGTCCTATTCAATGAAATATGCATGAAAGAATGATTGCTGCCTAAATGCACAAATATATATATATATATATATATATATATATATATATATATATATATATATGAAGAAATATAGCCTTAAGATGTGTTATATTTATGGGATAGTGCTCCATATCAGAGATAGAGCCTGTGTAAAATAAAAAGTGAACATAGAAGTCAACACTTAGAGGCGACAGTCTGTTTCATGCTAGATGCAATCGTCAGGCCACGACGATTGCATATAGCATGAAACAGACTGTCGCCTCTAAGTGCTGACTTTATGTTCATATATATATATATATATATATATATATATATATATATATATATATATATATATATATATATATATATCGTTTGTGAAACACTCTTCCAGCTCAATGCATTCCAAACCTTCAATCGCTATCTATTGTCTTCCTAATTACTCGTCAATTGTTCACTGTCTTTAGTAATGTTTCTTTTCTCTTCTCCTTTCACATGCACTAATCTCTTGTGTCTTAGTGGCTTTACACCCTTGATTGGATTAAATATGATTCACACACACACATATATATATGCGTACACACTGCGATTAGCTTTGAGGCCTCGTTGACTTTTATATATGCATGTGCTTTCCCTGATATTGAGCACGTTTTCTTATAGATATACCTTACACTAGAACAATATTTTTCACACACACACACACACACATATATATATATATATATATATATATATATATATATATATATATATATATATATATTTCTGTTGCTGTGTTTTGCACTTTAGCTAATTTTTCTGTAAGGAGTTTGATATATACCAACATAAGTATGACTTGGGTATGTATTCGCCGTTATGACTAATTATGGCGAATTTGTAAATGAAATACTCTGAATAAATGTCTTTAAGAACGGCATAATTGAATCGAGCCGTATGCCAGAGATATGTAGATGAAACCTTGTTATTCTGATATCACTAGAAATATTCGAGTAATTTGTCAACTCAATAATCCATTCGATCCAATTTACAATGTGTATTTCAATTTTTTAGGAAATTCTCTGTCTTCACATCCTGAATACCATAATACATTAGCGACGTAGCTGAAGCAAAAGATACCTTGACGCTGCCCATCAGTCTCGAATCGAGAGTTATTCTTCTCTTTGACTGATTGCAATAATTTCTAATCACGGTGTACATGATTTCTAACTTATTTCATTCAGTGATTTTACATTAACCCAGTTCCCAGAATATTAACCAATACTTTATCCAGATGTCCCGGCCTTTAACCTTCAAAATGCTATAATCTGGCGAAACTCATTTCGAGTTAATCTAAGTTTATCCATATTTTGATATCGGCTTTTATAGCGTTTGATGTTATTATTCTGCTTAGTCTTGTAATGAAAAAAGAAATCGTTTTATAGGACGATTGCTCTTCTAACTTTTCCCATAAAATAGATGTTTTTTAATCTTGGATTGTTGGTTGAATTTATTGATATATCCACTTCTATGGGTTATTTAGTGCCAAAATGTATATATATTGTACGCAATTTTAAGCTTTCAACTCCATATATTTTTTACATATTTCTTTTTACTTCTGGACAAACGTATATTTTTAAATATATAGTTTGTATTGTTGGTATATTTTAAAAAATGTATTGCTGGTAAATTTTCCTCAAAAATATATATTGTTCGTAATTTAAAAAAAAATAAATTATTGCAGTAATTGTACTATAAAAATGCATTTTTATACTTTTTAGTATTGAATTAATTGTCATTTCATTATAAAAAAATCTATTGCTGGTGAATTTGCCTCAAAAATATATTGTCCATTATTTTTTATAAAAATGTATTACTGTTAATTGTACTATAAAAAAGCATTTTTATACTTTTTAATGTTTAATTGATTGTCATTTCATTATAAAAATATATTGCTGGTAAATTTGCTTCAAAAATATATTGTCAATAATGTTTTATAAAAAAATATTGCTGGTAATTGTACTAGAAAAATGTATTTTTATACTTTTAGTTTTTAATTGATTGTCATTTCGTTATAATAAATATTTTGCTGGCAATTTTATTATAAAAATGAATGGTTGATTTGTGTTTGAGTGTTCACTATTTGCCCATATCTAACATGTGTTACCACCCCAAATCAGGGTGAACCTGCGAAAAATAGCAATTAAAAAGTAGTTCAATGCTCTTCAAAACATCCAGTTTCCTGGTCACAGGCCTTGCAGTCGGATGCAATTTATAGTAATACCCAAGAGGTTTGGATCTTAGTGACATCCTTTCTTACCAACTGACCTGTTCATCATATTAAGGAAGCCACTGTCAGTTAATTTGAATTTCCGCAATACATTACTTTTAATTATTCTATCATTACATTTAGTGACACTACCCAAAGCCAACGACAACGAAACTAAACCAGTTGATTTATATGATGTCGCTACGTGCTCCCATATGTGTTATGTTCAATCTTTTGCATCTCTCTCTCCGTACTCAGCTTGTGACTTCCTGCTTAGCTTTGCACATGCGCAATTCATTCAGGCTCAGAAATGGATTTTGGCTTCCATATACCGCAATCAGGAAGAGAATTAACAAAATTTTCCATAAAAATGGCAACATTGTCTTGAGTAACGACATATATAGTAAGCTCTTCGAAATAAACACATTTTAGAAAAAGTGAGAAGCTGTAAGCTGGGATGTGTGGGTGGTCTAATGGATAATGGCTCGAAATTGTTAATCGGAGATCCGAGTTCCGATACGATCACTAAAGTTAAGCAACAGCCAGCCTGGTCAGTACCTGGATGGGTGACCGCTTGGAAATACTAGGCGCTGTAAGCTAGGGTGTGTGGGTGGTGTAATGGATAATGGATCGAAATTGGTAATCAAATTTTTATACAACTATATTTACTCTCAGACAAGAAGAGACAGTGGAATATGCTGTATGCAAAGCACGCAGTAATGCAATTCCTGATTAAGTGTCGTGATCGATTTTCAAGAGCTAACAGAATAAGAGACATATTAACCCCCTCCACGGACACACACACACATACACACACACACACACACCAACCACCCAACCAGCATACATAAGAAACAGAAACACTAACCCTCGGAATTATTCATAAACAACGAACCTGGGAAGAGCCTGCATCCTCTTCCAATATTTTCATTAAACCCCTAATTATTTATATACACAGTAATCTATATAGAGAATTTTATAACACTATTGGACTCTATTTTGAACAATAAGAATGTATAATTAATCTCCAAGCTTAGCCAAAGAATCATGATGAAATCGATCATAAACGAAAATGACATGTTCATCATTAATTAATCATAGCTTAGGATCGGAAGATCATGAAGGATTGAAATTAAGTTAAAATATATATATATATATATATATATATATATATATATATATATATATATATATATATATTTGAACTTAAACATTTCCCAACTTATTTCAGATGATCTTCGAGCTCTCTAACCTTCTAATTTTCTGTCCTGTAGTAAAAAGATGCTTCACATGTTTCATATACGTTTTCATTTTAATTCCGATTCACCCTTCTCTTGATGGTTCTTGAATGGAAGCCAGAGTATTAATACTGGTACAAAACAAAAATCCGAATATGCAAATATGCTGTTTTTATGTTGTTTCAATGTCGACGTCAGACGTTTCGGTCTAGTAGACCTTCTTCAGGATATAGTTATTAAAACATTATTAACATTATACGATATTCAAGTCAACATGAAAAGACGATAGACATAAGAGTAATCAGTCTTACTCTTATGTCTGTCGTCTTTTCATGTTAACTTGAATATCATCATTGAAACAACATTAAATTGACGAAGCGATGGATTATTTGATTTGTTTTCTGCGGTTTATAAACATTTACAGATTATTTAAAACCAGAAAATATATTTAGATTGTAAGATTTGTGGTGGGTGGATAATAATTGTTTAGTATTAAATGTCTTACACATTAACCCATATCGTGGGAAGAAGAACTGGGTTCATACCATAAGACGATATAGCGAATAGAATTGGATACTAGTTCTCTCATTAACAATTTCGGGCCATTATCCATTAGACCACCCACACATCCAAGCTTACAGCATCTAGTATTTCCAAGCGGTCACCCATCTAGGTACTGACCAGGCAGGATGTTGCTTAACTTTAGTGATCCTATCAGAACTCGGATCTCCGATTAACAATTTCGAGTCGTTATCCATTAGACCACCCAGACATCCCAGCTTACAGCGACTAGTATTTCCAGGCAGTCACCCATCCAGGTACTGACCAGGCTGGATGTTGCTTAACTTTAGTGATTGTATCGGAACTTGGATCTCCGATTAACATTTTCGAGCCATTATCCATTAGACCACCCACACATCCCAGCTTACAGCACCTAGTATTTCCAAGCGGTCACCCATCTAGATACTGACCAGGCTGGATGTTGCTTAACTTTAGTGATCGTCTCGGAACTCGGCTCTCCGATTAACAATTTCGAGCCATTATCCATTAGACCACCCACACAGCCAAGCTTACAGCACCTAGTATTTCCAAGCGGTCACCCATCTAAGTTCTCACCAGGCTAGATGTTGCTTAACTTCTGTGATCGTACGAGAAACCGTTTTTCATCACGTTGTGGATGTAAGGCTGATAATTTTACCTATGAGCAATATATCTATTTCAGACTGATCTTACGCCTGACTACTTTGGATGCGGCATCTTTTGTCATATATCCATAATTATCTATGTCTAATCTACGCATCGGAACATCGATCTATATCTGACCTATACGCCTGTGTAATTTTTAAATGTTTAGCGGAACGATTATAATCGATCCGTCTGTCCCCTTCTCTGTGTTGCGGTCAATGTGCATCAATATTATTCTACAGCCAATCAATAACAAAAGTGATCTATCAATCTTTGTGAATCTTGCCGCCATTTCTCTGTAACGACTTCAACGAAAAGCTTTCCGAATCATATTTTCTAAGACGCTAACCTCCAGGGAAGAGTGATTCATATCGAATCAATTACTTGGACTACTGCTCGGAAAGGCAGTTCCCTATGTCATATTCGACAATTCTTCTCGCCAGAATCTATCTTACGTAATTTTATGTCTACCATTCGCCCTTGCGTTGAACGCTGATAGAAACATCTAGTCTGGTACCGCTACGATTCATTTAGAGACTCTTGGTAAAATCCAAATAACTTGCAATATAATTGATCCTGACCTGGCATCACGGCCTCAATCACATTTTCACCGCTACATGGTCCTTATGAAGACCACTACACTTAACTGCTAGTCATCAGATCAAATAAAAGTATGAAACAAAAATTTCACGATCTTTTACGGCGTTTAAAATGCTGTCTTACGGCGAAAGTTCTTGTTCTTCTGAAAAAATAGATTCAAGTTTTAAAAAAAATTGTGATAATTGTTTTATTAGAATATAAGATCCGTTAAATATTATTCCTTTTGTAGTTTTATTTTTATTTGAGCTGTTGTAATAATTCAATACGATTGTTTTAAAACCATTTCTCCGCTTAGAGACATGACATTAAACTTTTAATGGCCATTCTGTTTTTTGGATCGTCGGATCTGATAAGATCATTTATTTTATAGTACGTCTCATTCTCAGAGTTAAAAACGCGTTTTCTTTACATACAGTTTTGTTTCATTCTGACCTGAAGAAGCCGAAAATAACAGGTATTCATCTAAAGGTCGTTTATCGGACTTAGATTGATTTATGGATTTGATAATCAATCCCCCAAAAGCAGAAATTGTTATTTTAGGATTAAGATATTACTGATAAAAGTCTTACTAATTAACTTAGAGCTGGGGGAGAGATGACGGACTAAGATACAAGGAAGACATGAGCGATCGTTAGAATATAAGTTGATAATAAAATTATATTTGTAGATCGGGATGAGTGACTAGCGTAACTTATCTGTGGCTTACCTCCACTTGGCTTTGGCAAGACGTCGTTAGGTGGCGCTGTGAAGCAGCTATAAAAACGGGATTCTTCCATTTTTTCTTTTACTTTTCTCTCTTTACCACCCAACATGCTGTAGTGAGAATACAAACCAGGATCGATAACTTTCTACTTCCTGACTGAAATTTCACATACACACATACACATGCTTGTATCACGTACAAAATTTCTAACATTTTATCGCTTCTGTCTTTTACATTCATAATAATGTTTTATCTCCTTTGTTAATCAGATATATAAAAGACAGGAAATGATCCCCTTGTTGGAATGTATTCCTTTTTCTTAGACCTCTTATAGAGACAGCCAGACATTTACGAGTACAAATTTTATTTGCCACTGCTTTTAGCTCAACATATCCGATCCAAAAATGCAATCGGTAAGCGCAGTTTCAAAATCTGACCCAGTCTGCTATATTCCCTGTTCTTACGTCTGCTTTTGGAAAAGGCATGAATCTATAATTTCTTCTTCCTCCCAGGTTACAAGTAAAATGGACGAGTCTAGATTTTGGTTGCACTCATTCTAAGAGAAACGAAACAATGAATTCTAAAACTGAGATGAAGTCAGCGAGAAACTAGTCCACCGGTTTTCAAGAAAACATGGACGCCTATGTTACAACGAGATATGGTTATTAAAAATATATTTGTTTTTATGTGTATGTATGCGTATATATGTGCATGTGTTTGAGTGTGTGATATTCAGCCTGCCTTCGATACATTAAGTACACGACCTGTCATTCTACCTACATAAGAAGTCTGATCAAAAAGCACCCGGACTTGTGTTATAAAAAGAAAACTATTTATTATAAAACAATTTATCATTTAATTTAATTAAATGTTTAAGTTTTCTTATATCAATTTAAGATATCCATTAATGTATTATTTATCGTTTTAATTTAAATTTAAAGCTTTCTAATATTTTAATACATACACACACACACACACATATATATATAACACACTACAATATATATATATATATTTATATATATATATATATATATATATATATATATATATATATATATATATATATATATGTATACAGTTATATATGCGTAGTGGTTCTTAAATGTTATCGTTGTGACCTTTTCAGCTCAGCTTCACATACTGTATACGAGGCCTGGCCAAAAAGGATCGGGCGAGTTCCTTAGGCAATGGAGCTAATGTTCGCAGGAAAGACAATTGAGGAATAGAAATATACTTTTGTTCATATATAATTTATCTCTGTACTTTTTTTTTACATATAACATTGTTTTTATTACACTATACATAGGTATATAGATGAATATGAACAGAGTGAGATAGATGCCCGCTTAGACATAAAAGAATCTTTACAAACTTACTTATAAAATTATCTATGGTTTTAATGCACGTTATACGTGACTGGCCATTGAAAATTGACGCATACTAAATTTGAACATAGTAAAGTTTTGTCTTTTTGTATATATTCTCTCAATCTCTTGAGAAACTTTAATAAGTGTGAAACATTTTAGATTGATATACGTATCTTATGTGTTCTTTATCAGATGGTAGATACATTCAGCAAGTTTAATCCAATCTGTAACAAGACTGAAGATGGTGAGCGCTATCTCATTACACAAGCATATGAGTTCTGAAAGAAATAAAGAAAGACTGATTGAATGAATAAATGAGTGAAAGAAAAAGATACGATTGGGATAGATAGATAGATAGATAGATAGATAGATAGATAGATAGATAGATAAAATATGAGCAGACTTAGATAGATAGATAGATAGATAGATAGATAGATAGATGATAGATAGATAGAACCCAGAAAATGTTACTGAATGAGGAATAACCAAATCAGAGTTTGGAAATGAAATGGCAAACTTTATAAAATCAACAATATGCAATACTCGCCAACGGCTTGAAATAGGTAAACAACTGCTAGTGGTGAACTATTAGACAACATATTACCCCCATTTGCAATAGTGTCCTACGTATTTATGAGGATTGGAAATGCCCATTACTGTTCATAGGTACGGTATATAACAGATAGATAGATAGATAGATAGATAGATAGATAGATAGATAGATAAACACATTGGTCAATATAGATCAATATATTCCTGAAGATAGATAGTTAGATAGATAGATAGATAGATAGATAGATAGATAGATAGATAGTAACATATTGGTGAGGATAGATAGATAGATAGATAGATAGATAGATAGATAGATAGATAGATAGATAGATAGAATACGATTAGAGATAGATAGATAGATAGATAGATAGATAGAATACGATTAGAGATAGATAGATAGATAGATAGATAGATAGATAGATAGATAGATATAGCCAGAGCTATATAGCAATTTAGAATGTCTAGTTTAGTCTGTAATATTTTTGTGGAAGTTAAGCGCTAATTTATTACACAAGTCTGAAAGTATAAAGTGATAGAATTAAGATAAAATATTCGGATAGATAGATAGATAGATAGATAGATAATGAACAGACCAAAATAGATAGATAGATAGATAGATAGATAGATAGATAGATAGATATATGCTGTTTACAATTTGTCGTATACATAATTGGAATACTATTGAGTACAATGAATATTACATTTAACTGTGTGAAGGCAGTAATCACTTCTGTATGCTGACTGGCAGTTTCCCAATTCAAGCAACCGTCAGATCATCGTCGTTAAGATATGAAGCTGACAGTCACCATATGGTGTTCATTTCTATGTCCGATTCCTCTTTCCTTCTATGAATCTATAGATATATATTTTACGGATTTTATATATATATATATATATATATATATATATATATATATATATATATATATATATATGCGTGGATGGTGTTTCTACATTCCGATGAATAGGTGTGTGTGTGCAATATTTGGACACGTGTCTGAGCGAAAATCGTCCCTGAAATACGTTTAGGAATTAAATTTATGGCACAATAAAAGCAAAACAATCATGACTATATCTTAATAAGTTTCGATGATGGACTCCATAAAACGTTTGAATGTCGTAAACCCGGAATTATCCGAGGGTCGACCTGCATCGCACCTTTATTTACATCCCCAATTTACCGCAACGCCCTCCGTCAACGCGAATGAATCTCGGATTTATTGCAGGTGAACCAATCCTCGGCTCCAGCTCGCCGACAATTTAAGGATGTATTCATACGCAGGTTGGGTGGGCTTATTCCCGTGTCCTTCGTTCGGGTCTATTTTTCTGCCCTGTCAAATCGGCGATTGATTTAGGAAGCACTTATTGAACGCATTGACAGTCTCCTTTTAATTGAACTCGTAAATCTGTTAATTATTCGGTCGTGGTAGATAAAAACTTTGTCTTGCGTTGCGTCTCCGGTGAAGACGTGTGGTCCAAGCAGCACGGAACTACTTACTAATCTATTTTAATGGAAGCCCTGATTGAATTAAAGAGTATTTACGAGGAGAAATATCCTTTCTGACAGCAACGGGACAGAATAGTTATCCTTCCAGCTGTACTGGCTGATTTTGAAGTTGTTCCGTGAGGAGAGAGCGACATAGGTAAACAAAAGTCTGGTAAGTTGGGAACAAAAGAAACATTAATGGCACGAAACTAACCAGAGAGCAAAAAGGCTTTTTATTCTAAGTGTATTTACGACATTTCTATAATGTTTGACAGTTTC